GGACTTTTGCACATCGTATCCGACTTATCCAATGAGCTTCAGACACCAGTTTGCGTCACAATATTAGCGAGAATTTTAAATGCAGCCAGGTACCAAATCACCTCGTTACATGACATTTGCAACAGATTTATGAAGCATTTCTTTTAAATATTGCATCTTGTACACCTTCATCGCGTTATTTTTAGTACCCCTTCATCACATTTAATTTTAGAAATTCTTTGGAATTATTAGACAGTGTGAAGTGTAGAATCACTACCCTGCAATTCCAACGGTTCTACAATTGTACAAAATGATTTCATTTTAAGAACTTTAAACAACACAAGTACGGAAATTACACTGTGATGGATGATGCATAAAAAAATTCAACCTTTTACTTTTGAAGACTTAAGAAATATTTTTAGTCCTTAATATGCATATCATATATCAGTTCATGGTGAAGTAAAATAATCAAGGCAATCTATCTCAAACTTGTGGTGCTACAACAATACATGTATTCTTCGCATTATGTGTAACTGCTACGCAATATTGTACTACTACATGAATCTGCAAAAGTGTTTTCAACCAGCATTTTTTCCGCACCGAGACTCAAACTCAGATCTTTCGAATTAATTCGCCGTGTGCCTTACCACTACGCCATGGAACCACGATGACTCTCCAACTGGGGCCGACACTTAAAAATTGAATTGTCTCAACGCAATATTTCCAACATGCAATTTTCGAAAATTCAGAAAGATTAACAAAAACTATAACTCCACCATTCTTTTCAGTAGCCATTGTTTTATTTCTGGAAAAAATAGAGCAGATTTTGAGAAAACAATCTTTTTTATAATTTGCAGTAATTTCATTTCCCGCATCATTACGTAACTTTCTCTATACTACATATATTACTCTGTATATACGTAAAGTTCCCCCACACGAATTGGCAGATGAATTCTATCGTCACAACCATCCAGACACCCTTCGATACGGAGGAGGCAGCGTAGACCAATCGCTACAATCAGAACCTTAGTGTCTATGTGATTGGCGCAAACTACCATGGGGGCGGGAAAAACGCTATTCCCGGGGGGCAGGGACCTCGATTGTTTACGTATGAGACGGAAATATCGTCATCTTTCCCTGCCGAAGGAGAGAATTCTGCGCGTACGCTAGAACGAACACATATTTCTGAGCGGGGATTTTCCGTCAATATTTACTGTCAATAGACCAGTAAATATTTAGCAATTTAGCTCCAATCATACTATTTTTGAGCAATCAATTTGTAACTTCGTCAAACTGTTGTATTAAAGTGTTCATCTCAGGTACAAATTGCAGATTCTTTCCTGCCGTTCAGGCAATTTTCTCTAAAATAGATATTCCTCCTTCCGTCTAAACGAATTCGAGGCTTTGGAAGTTTTAAACGGATATTTTTATTTGGTGATACTTACGAGGAGAGAGTTTTAAGAAGAAAATTATAGTGGTTTTTGAGAAAATATTTTTTAGAAAAGTTCATAAATTTCAAGCACAAATAACGTGAATGCTACTCATATATTTACACAAATTTGTACATAACCTTTTTTAAACTGCCGAGTTCTTACAATAAATTTTGTTAAAGACTAAAATCTCTATCTTTAAATTTGTAGTTTTCAAATGTTAAATTGTTACAATTTTCGTAAACACGTCATAGATTTCGTTGAAGTTTGTCAAAAAAAATGGGAGTAGTACAATATTTTTACCGTTCTTTGGTTCATATGAGGAAAACATGTAACATACGCGAAGAAAAAAACTTTGAGTGGTTTTCGAGAAAATAATTTGTTTAGAAAACAGTGGCGTGCATTGAACCCCCGCACCTGTAGCACTGCTGTGGTACGCAAGAATGAGAAGTTAATGAATATTGAGAATTCAAATTACGATGAATCGTTTGCCTCTCGATAAAAAACATTGCTCCCTTTATATATTCTACTGTAATTTTTCGTCGGCCCACAACTCCACCCAGCTGCGAGATCTTGATCGCTGGGGATCAATGCGGCAGGCGCCAATCGGGCGGAAGCCATACATAATTAGCAAATAATGTACTGAAACCATCTAGCTACACCTCGGTATTTATATCGTTGCACGTCAGGGCTTGACTTCACGATGGAATATCTCACGTCATTCGCAACTTTTTTCGGTCGTGCCGCCAGACAGTACATTGCTCTGACCGTATCGCACTGCTTGATACGGTCGCGATATCTTATAACTTTAATAATAATAATAATAATAATAATAATAATAATAATAATAATAATAATAATAATAACAACAAAAATATTTGTTGAGTCACATATACAATTACAATCGTGTATGACGAGTCAATGTGTCTTGGGTGGAGAGAGCGAAGTTACATTACTGTTCAGGAGCGAAACAAGGGGCCATCTCTGCAAAACCTGATCAAGATGGGGTCTTTGGCCAAGGAATTATACAATACTTGGTACAGATAGATTAGGATATTGTACAGTAGATAATTATTTTTATTAGCAAATTATTTAACATTTCAAGATTAAATAGTTTCATGTTTAAAGTAAAAGTAAAATTTTGTTTTTGTCATTTTACTACTTACAATAATATTAATATTAATAATAATAATAATAATAATAATATTAAAACAATATATGATATCAATTCTGGTAGCAAATACATACAATTTAAGAATATTGGTACATTCTATGTTATAAACTTGATAAGGTGAGGAGGAGGAGGTTGCAGGTTTTGACCAGTTTTTTTCTTTCTATTTGTAAACCTAGTCCTACTGCGGCCCCTGATTATTATTATTATTATTATTATTATTATTATGATTATGAGGCTCATATTTCTCTCTTGCTGTAATGAGAGTGTACCAGGATGTTCCTTAGAGATTTTATTAATTTTATGGGGAAAGTAGTTCTGACACACGTGATCAATAGATTCCCCAAATTTTCAAACACCATACCGTACTCTTCATAAACTCACATGGTAGGTTTGTGTGCGTGATGTGATGTAAAGAATAAAAACGTATGGCCGAAACAGAACTAGTGAAAAGATATTATCCACTTTGGCCTACTGAATCACTGTTTGAGGACATATGATACACACATTCATTTTTCAAAAAAAACAACAATGTAGTGTTTTGCTAGACATGAAAGAAAAATGGAGTTAAGTTCCTATTGATTACATTGCAGGAAGCAGAATTCATTTTCCTGTTCTGTAAGATATTATTTACTTTTTCTTTCATGAAAATACATCCTGTGTGGGAATGATAAATTGCATGGAATTATTTATTTTTCTAAAGATTTTGTGTTTCATGGTTGTGGTAAAGAATCTCCTGTTGCGCTGTATTTTATATGCAGAAGGGGAGGTGGAAGAAGGTAGGTCACTATCAGCTGGGATGTATCTGCAATCACTGCACACCTCTGTTAAAAACTGAATTATTTTCAAGCACAAATCATGCAAAAACTACTCGTTTTTTTCCAACATTTGTACCTATTTTAAAGAGCTATTTTTTTGAACAGATTTTGAGGCAAAAATCTCTTAACTTTAATTTTCTAGGCTTGAAATGTTAACTTTATGTAATTTCCAAAAATACACTGGAAATGGGACTAGCGCCATATTTTTCCATGTTTTGATACAAAGAGAAAATTTTATTACATTCAAATTACCTTTGTTTTGTGCCAAATTAAGCGAAAACTACTCATATTTTCCCAAATTTATGCCTAACCTTATTTCATGACCTGTCATGAAAGACAAATACCATTTAGGAAAAATCTTTAATATTGTAATTGTAGGAAGACACCCAAAAAATTGAACATTTGCAATTTTTGAAAAATCAGGGATTTCAACAAACATGAGACCTGCACTAATTTCTTAAGTGTCCTTTAGGCTATCCAAGGATAAAGTTTAATCCACAAGGTAGGCTATGCACAACAAAACCATAGTTTTCTTTCAGTTTCTGTGCTCATTGGAAATTAGTAATATAGATGTTTGGGGATTTTCTCAAGTATCTAACACAATCATATATACCTCTCAAAAGGCTAGAATTTGTAATATTGATTACCTGAACTCAGAAATACTATTTTGACAAATTTAATTTAAGGTTACATATGATTTCACTGTTAATGAGTGGTGGAAATACTCAACATTGAGAAAAAATTATCTCTGTTAAGAGTGGCCATAACTCACAACAATTGTCTGCGAATTCATCTAAAGCCAATTGAATCATTTAACTTGCAAAACAAAGAATTAGTGGATTTCCACTTGTTTCTCAGAGGTTCATTTCTAGCTTGAAGGGTACTGAAAATATCCTTCAAGAAATTTTCAGGGAATGTAATCAAAATTTTGTTTAAATAAGAAAATAGCATGTTTGATAAATTTAATTAATGATTTCTGTGTAGACTATGCTCAAGTTTTCCTTAAATTACAATGAATGGTGTCAGGTAAGACCAGCTGTGAAACTGCTCAGAGAAAATACAATATATACTCCAGCACATGCAGATGGACTTATATCTTTCTCATGTTTACTGAAGGCAGCCAGATCGGGTTCTAGACTTTTATGATTGGCAGTAAGTCCAAAAATTGTTTTATTACTCTAATAAAACAACCCACATTCAACAATGTAAGTAGAAGACAGATTTCTCCTATTGTATATGACATGTCACAATTCACTTACAGCAATAAAACATTTTGAGATTTGATCATAACTCCCCATATTTCACAGAAGTATTATCACAAAAGAATGTCGAAATAGTATGAGTAAAGAGCAATAATTGATGTTTTCACCATACTTTATTTCACAATAATTGAACAATTTCATTCTCAACTTTTTATTTTAACTCTGAGATTTTATACAATAAAAGTAAAGAACATATATATAATATGACAATAATATGATAATAATATGATACATTCACAATATTATTTATCAGAATAATTTAACTTTTGAAGAGCTAAAAGGTTAAACATATTAAGTTTTATTTAAAGCTCAGTTAATCTTTGGTTTAGGGAAGCCATTCTGCATGGAAGTATTGGGCTGTGGCCAAGAAACTTTCATTCTGTAAATTGAAAATCCCAGCACTTTAAAACTGCACTATTTTTACAGCAAGTTGGCTTACTTTGAATGCACATTTTAAAGTTGATGGGATTCTGAGCTATGGTGTCCATAATTTACATTAAACAAATCAGTCTGAGCAACACAAAATTATTACTGCATTTTTGTGCAAAACTGCAAGTAAGCATGCTCCTGCCCTCTTTACACCCTTCACAGCACTCATAGATGGAAGAGCCAAGCTAAAGAAAAGTGGCCCCTCTAAATAAAAGATTAAATGAAACTTTAATATAATTTAACATGTTAACATATTCATCGAATTATCTCTTTAATTACATCAGTTTTAAATTAATTTTCTTTTTCTTTTAATTCTTAATTTAATTTCATGAAGATTTAATTTAATAAAATTTCAAAAAAGTTCAATGAAGAAAGTAAGTTGAAATACTAAAGGGCAAGGTTCAATACTTCTGCCATACCTTTTTTTTATCACAATAACTGAACTATTAAACATATAATCTGCTTTGGGTTTCATATTTACTTTCTTTTTCTTTTAATTCTTTCGTCCTTTTCCTTCTTTTATATCTTATATTTTTATGAAAAGCGTATCCAACAATGTCTTTTCTTTTACAATGATTCACGATCCTGAGCATCAAATTCCGAGTTAAATGTACAATTTATAAATTCATCATTCTCAAAGGAATTCACTACCATCACTAGCAAGGAATAGCATATTAGTCCCAGTCTTCATCCATTCCTTCTTCATCTTCTTGTAAATTTGACTCTGGCTCAGAGAACTGTGGTGGTGGAATCATTGCTGATACACGCTGCATAGCATTACCTACCGACACTTCTGTCTTATTTGCTCCAGATATACCCTGAAAAACATGATTTTATTTTTTCACATACAAAGCAACTAGATTCTGCATAAATTGCACATGGAATTCATTGCCATTAGTGTTTTCATGGGGATGCCCTTGCATCCCCACTATCCAAAACTTTTTATTAAATTTATTTATATATCTTTTTTTTCTCTTTAAATTATTTAGTCACGTGCCCAAAATATTGGCAAAATAAGAAAGTGTTTAAGTTTTTTTTTTTTTTTTCATGTATTGCAAACTACCCAATCATGACTGGCACTAGCAAAATCCAGGGCATGATTAGTTGTAGAATATCCTTTCTATTTTTAGATTAACTTACATTCATTTCCATCTTTTTATTAGGGGTAGTCATTCTCCTGTAATCTTATCATGGGTATCTCTAACAAAATTTGGAGCGGTAACAAAGGAAATAATTGTGGAATTTTAGTTGAAGCCATGCCATGACAATTTGTTAATTTATTAAACAAGATATGCAGTTTACCGGCAGTGTATTTCCAAAGCTCAGTTCGCATCCAACAATCACCATGTTCGACACTTAGAATGACACAAACTTTTACCAGCTCACATAGGACTGTTGTACTGCTCACATGTACGTACGTACATACGTATGTACGTACATACATGCGTATGAATTTATTTATGCCTTTATGAACTTTGGCGAAATAGCCTCTGATGAAGCCTGCGGCTTCCCGGCTTTGCAGTCATGAGTTATGGGGTACGTGTAGTTAGCACAGGGACATCCCTATGTCATATTCTGGTCTTCTCAACCTGAGAAGTGTCTCAATGTCACACAGCAACATATACTGGGACATTGCAAGGAAAACTCTCACTATAATCTTGCCTGACCTGGAATCATACCCAGGGTCGTGTCATTGAAAACTAGCATGCTGACCAATGAACTACCCAAGAGGGCCAAGCAAATGTTTAAATGTTTCAATTAAAAATCTTGGACTTCTAATATTCCCTGAACCACATACACGCTCAAATGCCCAATACTGTGAGGTCCATTCTACGAAAAAGTATTTTTTTCCCTAAAGGTCCACTATTTAGACTAATCCTATTGCAAAAGATATCCACATCAAAATATCCCTAATCAAAATGTTCCATATTGGAAAATGTCAAAAATTTAAAATGTCCACGATTGTAGTTAATACTATCCAGTAACCAACCAAGGAAATTACAATATCAATCAAGTGTTTATTAACTTACGATTTTACACAATCATATGTAATGGCATTGCTTTTGAAAGTCAGATTTATTATAATTCATTGTCATTCTACTGGACTGATTCACTGTAAAGTTTTAGATGATAAGAAATTGCTCTTAAATAGCATGGGAAGTACATAGTATGTAATGTATCATTCCACAGTAGAAAATGCAATACAATTATTATTGACCCTTGTACATGGAGCACTGCATGTACATGATTAATTCTGGTCCTATTGGGCCTTAATCAACACTGGACTTTTTACCACTAAGGATAATTTATTTTTTGACATTTCTTAAAAATTGACCTTTTTTCACCTGACCTCTTCAAAAAGACATTCACCACGCATAAACTATTTCTGTTGGACCTAATCTCTGGCAAGTGATTTAAAAGTGTGTTATGCAACCAATCATACACAACCATACCAACCAAGAGAGAGACGTATAAATGCATGCATGAACACCTAAGCACATAGAAATATACACAACAGTCATTTTAGGTGGGGAAAAAACACCACCATCTTTTCCTCAATGAGATGAACTGTTTCTAATGTCATTTTGTACAGAAGCGCTTCGTTTCTGCACACTTTGTGATTTCTCTCTTCAACAATGCCCAAAGGTTGTATTTACAATGAGTTGAAGCTCTAAGGATAGTTCTAAGTATTGCCAAAGAAAACAGTTTAATTTTCTTTGACAAAAACAAGCAATTTAAACTGTCAGAATTGGGGTGCCGATTATGACAGACCTGTAATCATGCCCGATTTTAGGGCATCCAAACCTTAACATGCCAGCCAGCTGTTAGAATTGCTGAACACTTCTGCTGTATTGCTGTTCACAATTAATCTAGGGGCGGATTTGGTCAATAAAATGCTCTTAAAATGGTTTAAAAATTCCTAAAAGTACAGAAAAATGACTGAAATAAGTTGATAAAATCCGTTTCAGATGAACAACTAAAGATGTTGGATATGTTACTGATGAAATCAAGGCTTCTTCCTTTTGTTCAAGGGAACTCATCTTGCAAACTTTCTTTTCACATGTTCTTTACTGGGAAATCTCTGTCGTTAGTTACACAAGTGCACTGTTAGGCTTCACAGTAACCTTAGATTACATATTCACAATGGCTGACATAATTTCTGAATGAAGAAATTGAATAGAGTACTCAAGAATTTTGTGGACAATATATCATGCAAATATTACTTAAAGGAAGTACCTTTAAAATGACATTAAAAACAATGACATAAAATACTTTAAAAATGATGGAAAAGGGTACAAAATGACTTATTAGTCAAAATCGATTGAAATTGAAAAAAAAGGGCCATTTCCTTCAGTCATAACATAAAATTAATGCCTGTACTAAAAGGCATAGTTCTAAGGTCAAAAGAAAAAATGACATTTCTTTAATCTGATCCAAAAAATGATGACATTTAATTAATTAATTAATTACAACAGATGTTTGAGTCTCAGAAATTTGAATAAAATTGTGGTGTTGTACATGCTGCAATGAAATGGTAAAATTACAAAAAACACTTTCTTCAGAAATCTATGTTTCGGAGGGAAAATTGTAAAGGCTTTATTTTTTGGTAACATTATTGTTAACATTACATTTACTTGGTAACATTACATTACATCTTAACTTTATGTATCACGCAAAGAGCAATTTGACAATGTTACAATACTGTTTTTTTTTCCAGTAAGAATCAAGAAACAAATTTCTAATATTAGTAGATGCTGTTGTCCTTGAACTTGAAATAGTCAGTCTAATGCCCTTTAACTTCCTGCCTTTCACTTTGGCACGTTATTCAAGAAATACTGATGTTTCAAAGAAGAATGCTACTCTTGCAAATGCAAAGTTTTCATCATAACACACATGGTTACATATGTGAAAAGAAATACATACCTTTCTCCTTAGAGCAAGTTTAGCGTGTAGATCAGCCATTAAATCAGAACTGCTGCTGACTTTCTCTTCCTATTTGAAACAAAAAATGCAGAAAAATTAAATATTAGTCATTGGGACACATAACGTGTTATTTCATATACATTCTCCCATATTTTCAATTTAATCATAATTCTAAAGAACTTTAAACCATCAAAACTTCTCATAAAAGAACAGATTTACAAGTTTCAAAAGTTACTTGTGTTAAATAGTGCAGTGATATTGATATTATTTTAGGAGTAAAATCCATCAAACATAAAACCACAGAGGAAAGAGCATCTCTTTCCTCTAAGGTAAAAACTATTACATTTATATTAGAACCTTAAATGATATGTCCAGTACTCAAAAAGTGTCCTAGTAATAGGGTTGATAGCTAAAGACAAAGCAATGTTTTTTTTTAAATTTTTCAAAATTACTTGCATCTCATACTTACAATATTTTGCATCCCATATTTACAATATTACTCTTATCAGCATTTAGTCTTGTCAACATGTTTTTTTTATGACGTTTGACATCAACTAACTTAATTGCATGCACTCAGTCAAAATCAAATTTAATACATAAATATAAGCAAATTGATGCAATTTATATCGACTTTTCTAAGGCGTTTCAACTCCTTGATCACGTCATATTAAATAAATTTTATAAATTTAATTTCCTCCTGAATTACGATAAGATTATCCAATCTTATTTCACAAATCATAAAAATACTGTAATATACAATAGCTGTTTCTCTCATCTGTATGCTGCCCACGCAGGGGTTCTTCAAGGATCCAATTGGGCCTTTGTTATTTATTTTAACCATAAATGATGTACCTTTGAATCTGGTATGTTTTGTGTTGATTTAGGCAAATAACATGAAAATGTATAGCCCAGTCAATACTATCGTCAATTGTGAGAATTTACAGCATAATATTAATCTTTTCATTTCCTGTTGTGATACAAATAAGACGATCCTTCAACTGCAATAAATGTCAAATTATGTCGTTTTTTTAAATTGGATAAAATTGTTAATAAATATACAATGGAAAATGTGGTTTTGAAGTAAATAAAATAAAAACTACTAATCTAGGTTACAGTGACCATGATGCACAACTTCTTACAATTACTATTCTACTAGTTCTTATTTATTGATTGTTGCACTTTATTTGCCTAAATATTTCTATTTGTTATCATCACACATCTTTACTAATCTACTACATCTCCACATCTACTAAATCTACATCTTTACTAATTAATATCTACTTATTGCTACTTGTTCTTTGCCAGCACCTTGGCGTTGATTAAATTGTCTTAACAAAATACTTTCTGCAGTAAAAGATGAAGCAATGCAGAAGTGTTTCGTATCCATTTTCATCATCAAATGAATTGTCTGCATATCCATTTATATTTAGTTTCTTACTTTTCTTTGAATATTCCCTCTTCAATCTTAAGCCTTTTCTAATTTAATTCAAAATTAAATAGTAGAGGGTTTAGAGAGTCTCTTTGCCTTACCCTCCTCTTAATTGTCATCTCATGGCTCAAGAGCGAATTCGCTCGTCTTTCACCAAGGAGGCCCGGGTTCGATTCCTGTTGAATCCAGGAGAATCTCACGTGCAATTTGTTCCAACAAAACAAGTTTGGCTGCTTCACAAGGGTAAGCCAAATCCCGGTGAAGTGTCCTAAACTCTACCCTATCCTAATTTCTTTCCAATTCTGGCCGCTGAGTAGTGACGTAGGACCATGTGGTAGGAGGCACGTATGCGGAGATACCTGGCGGTCCTCTTGACAACTGACTGCAACGAGAGGTGATGGATATGACGATATTAATGTAGGATTACTCCCACCCTATTAATGGAGGATTACTCCAAGCACTTATCACCCCCGTAGGGGCTTGGAGACACGTTCTGTCCATGTAGATGCATTCATCCTAATTTTACAAATGTAGATGTTCTCAATAAAAATATCATTTTACATGTCAAGGAGATCATGGGTTTTTTAAAAGCAAATTACTGAACACTTGTTTAAGGTCTGAACAGCAAAGGAAAGTTTGTTGCTTATATATAAGGAAATTTTTTTTCACAATCAAGTTGTGAAATAGTGCTATGTTTCCATGCATATCAAATAGCCAAACATGCATGATTAAGGATAAAAATGAAATAAATAAGTAAATAAATACGCACAATTAAATTTTAGCACAAATTTCAACATTTAACTCATTTCTCCTTCGATTTCAAATTTTGATGTGAAAATAAATGATTTTCCCAAATTTTCTTCAATCAGATACAGTTGGTCTAAAAAATTGTTTTTGAATACATCAAATGTACATTCTTCACTACTAGATGCAAGCATACTTCAAGGATAAAATATGCCATTCCAATTCTTCACACTAAAAAACCAAGAACAACATCAACTCTTTGGTACGAAATGTCCTCTCTTTCTCTCTGTTAACACCTTTCCCTTCTACTGACAAAGGAAATGGCATGAGAACATCTCATCATTTTAGGAATGCCATTGCACAGAGGAAAGTCTGAATACTTTGCACATGATATCATGTACCCAGATAATCTATTACACCTGTCTGCAGTCAGCCGGCTGGCTGGCTCATAGTCTCCTGCTAAGGCTCTTTCACTTCCCACTGTAATGCCACAGCATAGTATTCAGTTAGCACTACCCAATAGTAAGTATTTTGGAAGTGTATTCCTCTTTATGAAAAAGGAGAGGGTTTCAAGTTGTTTTTCATCCAAACTTCCAAAAAGTTTAAATCGTGCAGCTTAGCAATAAATGTCTGTCTGTAATTAGTGTTATTTATATGCTTTTTAAGAATAAAATCATCAATATGAATATCAATGTAATTTATACAAAAATCGTAATAAAAAGTACTTTATAAGTGGGAAAACTGTAAATATACCACATTATATTGAAAAATGTACGAACCTACATGAAGCATGAATTACTCCTAGAAATAACCAAACTATTCAAAAATTGAAAAAGTATTCATTCTTAAAAGGAGTATACTATGAAACACGCCTTTACAAGGTTTGAGGTAAACTTACATGAAAGCATTCACTTGTATAGAAATCCTACCTCTGATAATATTTAATTGCTTATTCTGCAATTAGGTAAGTTATTAAAAATTTAGATCAACCATAGTGGATTCTTTGCAGGTATTTATTGCTCATATTTCTTGCAAAAAACTTTCGTGACAATATTTCGAGGCAACTAATAATTCTCACCTGCATCCGTTTTCGAGTTTCAATTTTCATTTGCTTAGCAGAGCGCAAGTTAGCTTTGCCAGATCCTCCTGCTTGTCGAATTGCTTCCATCAAATTAGCTCTTGGATCACCACCTTGAAGCTTAGGCACCTGCAAAAATTATTTCTCTGTTCAAGCAATTAACTCATACAATCGGATAACCAAACAAATTGTATATAAGGCCCAGATGACTCTGAACAGTTATTTTTTTCAGATCTTAATATTAAATGTGTGTGGACATATGAATATGTTTATGAGAAAGAGAAGAGAGAATCTATCTTTTCATTACAATAACTTAAAATAAGCAAGAAAAAACAAAAATAAGTCTAAAATAGAATAAGAAATGTATTTATATTCTTAGTGGGCACTTGTGTATGTCTGGTGTACTAATTTGTTTTGCACTTTTTGAATCTTATTTTTATGGATTTTTATAAAACAGTATTTTAGTAAATACGCCCTTGTTAACTGACAACCTTATTACAAATTCTTATTTTCTTACTTATTTATTCTTAAGGAAAGAAGGAAAGAAGGAAGGAACGAACGAAGGAAGGAAGGAACGAACGAAGGAAGGAACGAACGAAGGAAGGAAGGAACGGACCACGAAGCGAAGGAAGGAACGAAACGAACAACGAAGGAAGGAAGAGAAGGAAGGAACGGAAAGAAGGATAACGATGACACGAACGATACAACGAAGGAAGGAAGGAGGAAGGAAGGTAAGGAAAGAAGGAAGGAAGGAAGGAAGGAACGGAGGGGATACGATACTATAAACCCACGGAACGGCAACGACCCACGATACACAGAACGAAGGAAAAGGAAGAAGGGAAGGAAGGACGAACGAAGGAAGAAGGAAAGGAAGGAAGGAAGGAACGAAAAGAACGACAATAGGAACGACCCAGGAAGGAAGTAAGGAAGAAGGAACGAAAGAGGAAACGAACGAATACGACACGAACAAGGAAGGAAGGAAGGAAGGAAGGAATGATACGATAAGGAAGGGAATGTGAAAAGGAAGGAAGGATACAGATTCTAAAACGAACGAACGAAACGCTACACGACACGAACGAAGGAAGGAGGAAGGAAGGAACGAAGGACCAGGCAAAAGATGCAAGGAAACGAAGAGAACGGAAGGAAGGAAGGAAGGAATGGAACGAGATACGGAGAGGTAACGATCTACGAACGAACGAACGTGATAGGAACGAAGGAAGAACGAAAGGAAGGAAGGAAGGAAGGAAGGGAAGGAAGGAAAGGAAGGAAGGAAGGGAAGGAAGGAAGGAAGGAAGAAGGAAGGGAAGGAAGGAAGGAAGAAGAAGGAAGGGAAGGAGGAAGGAAGAAGGAAGGAAGGAAGGAAAGGACAGAAGGAAGGAAGGAGGAAGCGAAGGAAGGAAGGAAGTAAGGAAGGAGGAAGGAAGGAAGGAGGAAGGAGGAAGGAAGGGAAGGAAGGACGGAAGAAAGGAAGGAAGGAAGGAAGGAAGGAAGGAAGGATAGAAGGAAGGAAGGGAAGGAAGGAAAGAAGGAAGGAAGGAAGGAAGAAGGAAGAAAGGAAGGAAGGAAGAATAGGAGAAGGAAGGAAAGGAAGAAGGAAGAAGGAAGGGAATAAAGGGAAGAAGGATGAAGGAAAGGAAGAAGGAAGGATAGGAAAGTGAAGAAGGAAGGAAGGAAGGAAGTAAGAAGAAGAGAGCGAAGAAGGAAGAGAAGGAACAGGAAGGAAGAGAAGGATCAGGAAGGAAGGAAGAAAGGAAAGGAAGGAAGGAAGGAAGGAAGGAAGGAAGGAAGGAATGTAAGGAAGGAAAGTATGGAAGAGGAAGGAATGGAAAGGAAGGAAGAAGGACACAGGAAGGAAGGAAGGAAGAAGAAGGAAGAAGGAAGGAAGGAGAAGGAAGGAAGAAGGAAGGAAGAAGCGAAGGACAAAGGAAGGAAGAAGGAAGGAAGGAAGAGAAGGAAGAGAAGAGAAGGAAAGGAAGGAAGGAAGAAGGAAGAAAGAGAGGAAGGTAACGAAGGAAGAAAGGAAGGAAGGGAAGGAAGAGAAGAAGAAGAAGGAAAGAGAAGGAAGAGAAGAAGAAGGAAGGAAGGAAAGAACGTAAAGGTAGACACGAAGAATACGTAACGAAGAACGACGAATGATACGAACAACGAAACGAACGAACGAACGAACGAACTCAACTACAGGCAGAGCGAGCGACGAAGAACGCAGGCAGGCAGGCCAGGCAGGCGGCAGGCAGGCCAGGCAGAGATGACAGGGGCAGGCAGGGCAGCGGCAGCAGCCGTAGGCTAGTGTCAGGCATGTCAGAGCAGGCAGGCAGGCAGCAGCAAGGCAGGCAGCGGGCAAGGCAGTGCAGCAGGCAGGGCAGGCAGGCAGCAGGCGCAGGCAGGCAGGCAGGCCAGGGCAGGCATGGCATTGGTCAGCGCAGGCAGGCAGGCAGGGCAGGGCAGGGGCAGCAGGCAGGCAGGCAGGCAAGGCGAGCAGGGACAAGGGACCAAGGAGAGAGGGGACAGACAGGAGAGGTGCAGAGCAGAGAGGCAGGACAGAGGCACAGGGGGGCAGGCGTCCAATGGCAGGCAGGCAGGCTGGGGGGGCAATTAGGCAGGGGCAGGGGCACGGGGCGGGGCCAGGGGGGGCAGGCCAAGGGGGCGGAGCGGGGGGCAGGCAGGGGGGGGCCACGGGGGTTCCAGGGGCAGGCCGGCAGGGGGCAGGGGCAGGGGGCAAGTGGGCAGGGCAGGCAAAGGGGCAGCAGGCAGGCATGGCGGGACAGGCAGAGCAGAGACAGAGGGGCCACACAGGAACAGCAAGACAGGGCTGGACAAGGTGCGCAAGGTGCAATCACGCAGGCCTAGGCACCGCCACGCCGCGATAGGCAATCTCTC